GACAGACAGACAGATAGATAGATAGATAGATAGATAGATAGATAGATAGACGAAGGGATAGAAAGGAGGTTTAGGTGGGATAGGAAGAAGAACACTGAGGGATAGATAGAAAGACATGCAGACAGACAGGCAGGAAAATTGGATAGACAAACGGAGGGATAGATTGACAGACTGAAGGATAGATAAGACAGATAGAAACAGAAGACGGATAGACAGACAGACAGGCAGGCAGACGAAGGGATAGAGATAGATAGACAGACAGAGCAATCAACTGAGCTCAGTTTTTCAGGCCATATCTGTATTTTTTCAGGATTATTGTTGTCAGTATTGGGGAGATGAAAAGAAAACGTTCGGAGACATGGAAATTGAGGTAAAAAAGACAGAAACCTTCCCAACGTACGTGAGACGGCGTCTAGAAATACAGTCCTCAAAGGTAACCAGAGTCCTTCTCCTCAGCATGAATATCTTTGAATTGAATATCATTAACAGCAGGCATGTTTTCTGAGACATATGAATCCATCTTGAATCCTGTAACAGAAGAAAGAGGTCTTGGAGGTGGATCAGTACCAGTTCCTGAAATGGAGAGGCCGTGAGCTTCCAGAGAACGCTCAGGAGTTGATAGAGATGACAAGGATCATCAGAGAGAACGGCAATTATGACAACAGCAAAATGAACCGGAATGTCCCCATAGTGGTGCACTGCAAGTAAGTCCATCAACACCAGTTTTCTTTCCCTGATGGAGATGGGTGGATTTTTAAACATCCGTAAACTTTAATTTCAGCAATGGCTCATCTCGTACCGGAATCTTCTGTGCCTTATGGAATCTCTTGGACAGCGCCTACACAGAGAAGCTGGTGGACGTCTTCCAAGAGGTCAAAAACTTGCGCAAGGAGAGGCAGGGGATGGTGGAAACAATAGTAAGTTCTTGCTTTGTTTATAAAAACAATAGACCTTAGTCAGGTTAGATGCCAGGGGCGTAGTTTCCACTGGAGACAGAGGGGACATGTCCCACCCTCACTTTCAAATTCGTTTGTTATGATTTTTTTAACCGCACGCCGTCATCGCCACGGAGGAGCAGGACCGAACAGGACACAGACACGCCCGTCCGTGTCCAGGAACGTCGCGTGCACACTCTAAAAATAGCTTACCGAAAGTTCTAATGAACAGGTATGGTGGTTGCGGCACAGTCAGTGATGAAACGCCAGAAGCAGCAACAGATGACTTTAATGTCATCATGGATGAATAGAAAGAAAGGAGATGTGAGTTGGTTGATTCAGTAAATTAGCTCAGGTCAGGATAATCATATTTTCTGTCTACACCTGTTGATGTTAGCCTAACGTTGACCGAGCTAACGTTAACATACACTGTTGCTAGGTAACTTCAGGCTGTTGTTAGCTAAATATTTAATGTAGAACAGTGGTTCCAAAACTATGGTATGTGAGGCGACAGAGGGGGTACGCGAACAAAATGCTGAGTTTTGCTGTGTTTCGTGAACGAATCTGTGGCTTTGAACGAATCTTCGTGAAAGTCATTGATTCAATGATTCATTCATAAATACAGTCACTTGCTTCATTACTGAATGAATGACTCAATGACTCACGCATTAAGACAGTGACTTACCGCCAACCTACTGGCGGTTTTAGTATTTAAAATACTAAATTTAAAATACTAAATTTAAATTTAGTATTTTAAAGAATCACTTTTCACTTTTTTTATCATCATTGCATATTGCAGGTACAGCGGTTAGTTTGAAATAAAAGTTTGTTTAACAATGGAAATTGAGTCTCACATTATTTAAATTTTATTCACATACAAACATTAATGGTGAACATTTTTGACTTTATAAAATGTTTCTCTCAAGTCTTGGCGATCGGCCCCTATTAAACAAAAAAAGAAAGTAAGACATCTTTTTCTTATTCATAGTTAAGTAACCTACTATTCTTTTTGACAGAATTCCAATCATTATAATCAACTCAATTATTTCCTGGATTTTGTATCACCATAGTCCCTAAATGTATGTAAATGCAGGAAATGGGATTCAAATCGAAAACATTTTCCCCATTTTGTGTCCCCCCCACTTCTCAAACCAAAGTGACACCCTTGTTAGATGCCATATTGAATTTAACACGGATGAAAACAAGTTTGTAAGGGATAGATTTGTAGTTTTACAATGGCACACACTGTAAATTTTCACAACCCACAACTTTCAAAACTGTTTATGGAGTTTTTGTCTCTTGAAACTTTCTTTAGAAAGACGTTTCGTCAGCTGAATAATCAGTATGGTAAAACAAAAAAACAGTACTTCTGTCCCTCACAGCCTAAAAGTAAAAAAAAAATAGGCCTATAATCTTTCATCTATAATAGGCTTTATATCTTACAATCACTGTATCTTACAAAAAAAACTTTATTTCTTCTAATTGTGACTTTATTTTTCATAAATGGGATGAAAGTCCCATTTTTTCTTACATCAAAAATTAGTTTATCTCACAATTACCTTTTCTTACACTGAACACAGATACAGAAACTGACTTCCTTAAAATACCGATCTGTAGCCTACCATTTGAGGGGGGGGGGGG